GTAGCTCGCACGTACGCTGTACGTGTAGTGTACAGCCGCGCAGTATGCGTGGCTTGGGACAGCTTTGCAAGTCGTAGTGCTGTATCAGGGGGTTTATAATTAAAACATAGTTTATGATATTCATATGGTGTCACATCAGAATCCCTGCCTTCTTATTCAATTCGCTGACAAGTAGGATATTAACATTAAATAGTTTATACCATATTGTTCAGTCTATTGTTTGGACTATTCTGTAACAAAGTGGGGACCTCGACTGAAAAAGTGTAACGTATATATTATTTCACAATTTGAAGGAAGCGAGAGCCAGCCCTGGCCGGCTGGTTACATTGACAAGAACGAGAGTTGGATGAGTGCTCCTAGTTTGCACGCCTTTATAATTGTCCATAATTATTAAGGGATTAAATTCAAAGGTTATGTTGATTGTTTCTTTATACTGAAGTATGTATAATTTAGTTAACTTTTAATATGATTGTGTAATTGTTCACAGGGGTAATAAATTAGACGCAAAATAAAACATCTGAACCACCGTCCTGGTTTGTGTGTGAGTGACGTTCCATTCTCTGCTCTCCCTTACCATCTCTGGGAACAACTTCCCCTCTCCTCGATCTTCATTGGTTGGCAACCTATATTCCCATGGCAACGTGGGATTACAACATTATTAACTATGCAAATTTCACAATTTTGCACGGTATAAAAGATCTTTTTTTAGTTTATTTTCTCAAAGCTAGTTTAATGGATATCTGGTATTTTATTATCCAAAATTTTAACTTCATATGTACATTTTGTACTAGAACTGGGTTTTTTTTCTGATATGTGACATAGGTACATTGTAGTGTTTCCATGCATCAACAAAGTTGTTATGATTTTACCTTGTTATGATTTTACCTAAAGTGCTCTTCCAGTGCCAAGGCGTCTTCTTCGCTTAGCAGCTCCTTGCGCTTTATGTCTGTCAGAAGCCCTCGTAGTGCTGAGTTTGCAAGGGATTTTCGACAATTTTTTACTCGGAGTGCATTGATCTTGGCTTGCAGAGATTCGCACGTATCTCTCCAGTTGTTCACACACTTCGTCACTTTAAAGAGCTTTGATGGCAATGTGTAGAATCCATGATCACTATGGACAGCTGTCACTATCTTTTTACGCATATCCAGGTCTTTGTTAGGTTCCAGAAGAGAATTTGATGTCTCACGAGCTCCAGCAAGGTTTAATACTCGACGCTCATTAAGGGATCTAGGTTGAAGGTGTTTGGGGAATTCGAACAACGTGGCAGAGCATTTCTCTTCAGGATTTTGTTATTACAGCCTGTTTTGAAAGACTCTGGATCAAAATAGCTCGAGTAGAAGCTATCTTGCCTTGTTGGATCGTAGCCATCCCAACGCATATTATGAAGCCACTGGCGTCGTCTGGTGAGTTCCTTCGGAATATAGTGGAATGTAATTCCATTCGCCTTTGATTCTTGTGAATATCGCTGTTTACAACCCCATGCTACAAAGGTTCGAGGCATTGTTTGTGCATCACTTTAGATTCTGCAAAACAAATACAAGAGAAAACAAAGGCTTCATTAAAAATGATCTTAAGTTATTACAAAAATATTTTGTTATCAAGTTACATGGTGTAAGTCACAGTAATATCTGTATAATTATAGGCAATTGCAAAATTAGAGCCAAGTTGAGGATGAACACGGAATGGGAACATAAAATGTCACTGAAAGCTGACCAAACCTCAGACTTGACTGCCAGTAGCAAAGGAATGAACGACTTTTAATGGTGTGTTGCAACTGATAATGTAGTAACCAACGGATAACGTATTGTAGCGGAAAGTGCTTGGCGACTTGTAGCCAGTTTATTTACTACGTCATTCCGATCGCACTAACGTTAATTCTCGGTGTGTTGGTGACTGGGCGGAGCGTAAGTGCCCAGTGGCTGAATAAACGTACGCTATTGGTTGCCTAAGGCCTATAGGTTTAGTACATGCATTGGTGTTTGTGCGGCGTATGCTTGTTCACGTGAGGGCTATTCACGTGATCGCGTGGAGGAGTTGTGCTGTGGACAGCGGACGGTAAGGTCGTATATTGCTCGCGCTCTGTATTTTGGGTAATGCTGACGCGCACTGTGTAAATGGCGCTGGCCCTGACTGTGCTGAAGTTGCGCTGTGATTCTGACGCGCAGCCGTACAAGTGAATGTACGGTACGATGCTGACGCTAGCTTGCATGGGTAAAGAGTAAATCAGGTTAAGGCTGACAGCGTGTATTACTTACTTTGGCGTGCGTTACTTACATTGGCGTGTGTTATTTACATTGGCGTACGCTACTTACATTGGTGTGTGTTATTTACATGAGTGTACATTGCTTACATTAGGTACATTGTTTACTCAGTGTGCACTGTTTACTTAGGTACATTGTTCACTTAGTGTACATTGTTCACTTTGTGTACGTTGTTGAATTAGTGTACATTGATTTCATTAGTGTACACTGTTGACTTAGCCGTGCATTGTTTACATCAGTGTACATTGTTGACTTAGCAATGCATCGTATACATTAGTGTACATTGTTGACTTAGCAGTGCATTGATTACACTGGGCGCATTGTTCAAGCTGTGGGCGTTGCTGCTTAGTTGAGCTGTCAGTTAACTCCCAATTGTAATTAAGTGACCCTGATAATTAACAACCTAATTAAGACTCAATCACTGCTGGATATTTCTTGAATATCGTATAATAAATTACGATTATATTTGTGGTGCCGACATTCCTGTTGTCCATGTGTATTTGTTGGGTGTATTTATTGGGTAATCACAATCATCATAATCATAATCGGCGGTATATTTTCTCCAAACCGGACCTGCTCCCTAAGCCTTGAGGTCGCTCTGAGTGGTCTCTCGTCTGGGGAAAGCTTGGGTTCGGGAAGATCAGCTAAACTCTAATTTGGTTTGGCCCGAGGAGATCCCCGCCACAGTATCACCAACCAATAATGTATCACAAATTGACTGATATTGTATCACTAACCGATAATATAGCAATAATTGACTGATAGTGTAGTACAATTTGTATCCGATAATGTATCACGTGTCGACAAATAATGTAACTACGAAATAAATGTATCCGACAATGTATTACCACGGAACGGATACTGTATCAATCGATAAAGTATCAAAAATCAACTTAAATGTATCAGTACGGGGAAAAGGTGGAATATTGCAAATTAATTAAAGTCTAATAAGTGCCTTTACTATGATGAGTCCCCACTCGGGAAAGTTTATCCTTAAGAACATTTTTTTTTTATTTGGGAGGTAGGGAGTTGCTCTGGTTTGGAGACGCTCTACTTCCAAGTAGTATCGTACTCACGCGTGCGCAATACTACCAATAAGTCCACATTTCATGGAGTCGGATATTCACGCTACACCGGAACCATTAGGAGATCAATGGACGGGGACACAGCATGTGCGTACTGTTCTGTACTGTTTCGGACGCAAAGTTCCACACCACATCCAGAATGTGCCAAGGCTATTAGCCGCAGCGTCTTCGCATGACCGTCAGGCAACTTCGGAACGCGCATACGTTCAATTTAGCTTGCGATGGTCTCCCTTCGCTCGTATCCCCCGCCCTGTAGACAGAATCTTGTGAAGGAAGTACAGATTGACCTTCGCATGCAGCTAGCGCGCGCTACGCATAATGAGCACCGGAAGCTAGTTTGTGTGACGCAATCTACGCAAATCTATCCGATGAGAGCTCAAATGACGTTAGCCCTGACCAGCGTCTTGTTTACAGGGAGGAAGGTACGAGCTAATGGTCTCCCAGACTATTTCCTCCCACAATAACCTTGCATCATTCAAAATACACAGTGGATGAACCGGGAACACATACGAGTGGCGAGGCATGTGTATAGTAAAATTACCATCTGAAATGATCGTGTGACTTGAGCTGTCACAAAAGATACAATGTGTGACGAAAATGCCACTTTGGTCTTTTTGTTAGACTCATCTGTACGCCTGGGTAACTTTTTATTAGGTTCCATCCACTTTTATAACTGTTTGATGACCTATTTTATCGCTAGTATTCACCAACCATCAGCTGTTTTCATGCACTGCCACTGCCATGTGTTTGTGTGTGCTAAAAATAGAGTTAGGGTAAATCCAAGGTGGCCGCCTCCTTGTTTCTAATATCTGTTCGGATTGGCCTAAAGTTTTTAAAGAATATTTCTGATTTTAGATTATAAAACTGAGATTTATCAGAGCAGAAAGTTGTATTGTTTACCTATTTCAACACTTAGATTAAGTTTTTGGCAGAAAATATTTCAGTAGGCAATTATTTACCAAGGCCTGAAATGCTTCATGAATATTCATGAGTATGACATCACTGGACTTTTATCAATGAAATTAGGTCATGTTTACGTTCAGTCACCAACTTTTTTTTGCCTTATTATGGGAAGTCTGGGGAAATCTGTTGTTTTGTCTTCTGTGTAAATGAAAGCTAAGGATTTAAGGATTATTTGTATACTTTGAGTGATGAATGTACAGCATAAATTATTGATTTTTTTTTAGATGAATGAAAACTTTGTTGTGTGAAAAAAACAAAGAGGAAAATGGCGGCGTACTGGGTGACAACGATCTCCGGGGATCTGCCACGTAACAGACAAAATTGCCTCTTTATACTGACCTCCACCTGTCAATATACTGTGTATAGCCGGAGATAATATCTGCTTTATTACTAGACCTGCTTTTTATGTCATCTCGGGTACCATAATGCCTAGAAAAGCTGCCAAATCAATAAGTGACTCAAATCGACCACCGGTACTCTCGCCACAAGCAACAAGTCCAAGCAAAGCAGGGTCTATTGCCGACACAAGCATGGAACAATTCGAGCATTTTGTTCGACAGGCACTCACCGAGCTCCGGGCCGGACAGGTGGAGTTACGTAACCGCATTGACAAGCTGGAAGTGAACATCAACGACTCCATTGAGTTTCAATGCAGACGCATTGACTCGCTGTAAGGCAGATGAAAGCTTACTGCCAAGATGACCACGGTGGTAAAAGTGCTGACCGACCACGCTGAGCACATCCATAAACTTGAACAATTTTCTCGGAGGAACAACATCCGAGTCACTGGTCTCTATCAGCAAAAGAACGAGAACTGTCTGTCCCAAGCTAAAAATCTGCTCCAGGACAAATTCTCCATGGAGGATGTCGAGCTGGAACGGGCTCATCGTGATGGGCCTAAACTTGACGGCAAGCCTCAACATCTGCTGATCAAGTTAAACTGTTACCAAGACAAGATCAAGGTCCTTCAGCAACAGCGTAAGGTCCTGTCTAATGACCCCTACTACTGCGTGGAGGATCTTACCAAGATCGACCTCCAAGAGAAGGGGAAATGGTCCTCCCAAGCGTCCGTAGCTTACAAGGAAGGTAAGAAATACCGCTTCGTTGCTGGTTAGTGGAGGCACTGGTGGCACTCTGGCTCACTTCTACAACTAAATCTGCATGGCTGCTGACATCCATCTACCATCCATCTACTAGATTGCTGAGCATGATTTGCTTGCAAGTTAATAATTATATTTGTTTGTTAACATTTTTCTTATTTAAGTAAAGCTAGCTTATAATTTGATAAATTGTTGATACATTGTGTACTTTTGATCTGTTTGCTTCAGTATTTTCTTGCTTTTGTTGTTGTTTCCAGTTTTGTCATCTTATTTTTTTTTACCTGAATTTGTTTTGGTTTTTTGCTACATATCAACTCTACTGTGCACAAAAATGTCAAGCTATATATCACATGTAATTTCGCCATGCCATTGACAGCAACGGAAGAGTTGTACTTGTGCACGCGCGCGCGCGTTGCTGTCAACATTGGTGGGGCCAACCATTTTGTAATAGGGGTGTTCTGGGATTTAACTATGTATGTGTACATGATGTACAGCAGACGCCGCGGTTTCATCAATTTAATGTCCCGTAGTTTTAATGAAGGGCAAACCTAAAGGATTGGAAACAAAACTAGTCATTTTTTAAATAAAATCAATACATCATATGAACATTTATTAACATCAAACTGATTAAAGATTTTGAGAATTAGATAAAACTTTTCATTGGACAGTTAGTTGAAGAGTTTAAAAAAAATCCTTCTATAAACACATGGAGCAAGTTTTTTCTCTCTTTTACAATAACAAACATTATTTTGAAAGATCAAGTAAACATTATTTTTACCTTGTAACCAATCAAAGGATTAACTGGCTGTACAATAAACCTCTGCATAAACAAATAAACAAATGCCATAGGATTGGCTTGTAATGAAATCAAGATGAGTAAATATTTGTGTAAACATTGACTATTCGTTAACGTGTGTAGGGAACATGGTAATAATTATTCACAACTGCGACAACAAGGGATCCGTTTGAAGTATTGGCCAGATCTCTCTTGTAATACAATATTCACAAGTAATACAAGTACTCAGTTCATTTATCGGATCTCACAACAATTAGTTCAAGCTAAAACTTCAAAGTTTTAGAGCAGAAGTTATGCCACAACAAGCTCTCCATTATCTTTAATCTGGAATAGAACCTTTACTGACCATTGAGCATGTTTTAATATTATGCCCGCTGACTCCACAACATGAACATTACTGCATTTGGATTTCTCTACTACAGGTTGGGGACAGCGTTTCTATCCTATTCTGTTTCTGCATTATCTGTTTAAATGCTACTAATCCCTTATGGTTGGATGCTTTGAAAAAACTTTCTTTCACTTGGTCATTCATCTTTTCAAAAGACTGCTCTGAGAAGTGGTTTATGCATCCTCCATGAAGTAGAATTGCTTCTCCAACATGCATCGCTAAGATGTGCATGTACAAAGTAACATATTTGGTCTGGTATGTAGAGGCATAGAAAGTAACCCATGATTTTGCCAATTCTTTGAATTTTATAAGTTTTTCACCCTGAATGTTATCTTTTGTCATGCTCATTAGAATTCCAAAGTCATTCCATATCTTAATCACATCTTGTAGTGTGGTTAGCCAGGGCATCATATCACCAAGAGAAATTCTTTCCTGTATTTTTTGTGTTCTGGCCCAATAAAACATCGGTAGTTCGTGACATCTTTTGCCTTTGTGGAGAAATGCCATTCGATTCCTATAGAACGAACAAACTTTTCAAAGTTTTCGATTTTGGGTGTTTCATTTTTGTGAGATTTTGTGTTTTTTATTTGGTTATCCCTCGTTCTTAGCTCTTGTAAAAGCTTTCTAATTAGCTGATCAGATATTCTCAGGTACAGGTGAAGAAGATCGGGAACTATAAACTTAATGTCTATTGATCTGAAAATCGGTGAACGAAGACAATTGAACTTCTTTTTCCTACTGCCTGACCACTGTGCCATTTCATTTATCTCATTAACTGTGCGGGCCCCTTTAATCGTGTCAAGCATTGACCAGCTAGCTTATAATTTGATAAATTGTTGATACATTGTGTACTTTTGATCTGTTTGCTTCAGTATTTTCTTGCTTTTGTTGTTGTTTCCAGTTTTGTCATCTTATTTTTTTTTACCTGAATTTGTTTTGGATTTTTGCTACATATCAACTCTACTGTGCACAAAAATGTCAAGCTATATATCACATGTAATTTCGCCATGCCATTGACAGCAACGGAAGAGTTGTACTTGTGCACGCGCGCGCGCGTTGCTGTCAACATTGGTGGGGCCAACCATTTTGTAATAGGGGTGTTCTGGGATTTAACTATGTATGTGTACATGATGTACAGCAGACGCCGCGGTTTCATCAATTTAATGTCCCGTAGTTTTAATGAAGGGCAAACCTAAAGAATTGGAAACAAAACTAGTCATTTTTTTAATAAAATCAATACATCATATGAACATTTATTAACATCAAACTGATTAAAGATTTTGAGAATTAGATAAAACTTTTCATTGGACAGTTAGTTGAAGAGTTTAAAAAAAATCCTTCTATAAACACATGGAGCAAGTTTTTTCTCTCTTTTACAATAACAAACATTATTTTGAAAGATCAAGTAAACATTATTTTTACCTTGTAACCAATCAAAGGATTAACTGGCTGTACAATAAACCTCTGCATAAACAAATAAACAAATGCCATAGGATTGGCTTGTAATGAAATCAAGATGAGTAAATATTTGTGTAAACATTGACTATTCGTTAACGTGTGTAGGGAACATGGTAATAATTATTCACAACTGCGACAACAACAAGGGATCCGTTTGAAGTATTGGCCAGATCTCTCTTGTAATACAATATTCACAAGTAATACAAGTACTCAGTTCATTTATCGGATCTCACAACAATTAGTTCAAGCCAAAACTTCAAAGTTTTAGAGCAGAAGTTATGCCACAACAAGCTCTCCATTATCTTTAATCTGGAATAGAACCTTTACTGACCATTGAGCATGTTTTAATATTATGCCCGCTGACTCCACAACATGAACATTACTGCATTTGGATTTCTCTACTACAGGTTGGGGACAGCGTTTCTATCCTATTCTGTTTCTGCATTATCTGTTTAAATGCTACTAATCCCTTATGGTTGGATGCTTTGAAAAAACTTTCTTTCACTTGGTCATTCATCTTTTCAAAAGACTGCTCTGAGAAGTGGTTTATGCATCCTCCATGAAGTAGAATTGCTTCTCCAACATGCATCGCTAAGATGTGCATGTACAAAGTAACATATTTGGTCTGGTATGTAGAGGCATAGAAAGTAACCCATGATTTTGCCAATTCTTTGAATTTTATAAGTTTTTCACCCTGAATGTTATCTTTTGTCATGCTCATTAGAATTCCAAAGTCATTCCATATCTTAATCACATCTTGTAGTATGGTTAGCCAGGGCATCATATCACCAAGAGAAATTCTTTCCTGTATTTTTGGTGTTCTGGCCCAATAAAACATCGGTAGTTCGTGACATCTTTTGCCTTTGTGGAGAAATGCCATTCGATTCCTATAGAACGAACAAACTTTTCAAAGTTTTCGATTTTGGGTGTTTCATTTTTGTGAGATTTTGTGTTTTTTATTTGGTTATCCCTCGTTCTTAGCTCTTGTAAAAGCTTTCTTATTAGCTGATCAGATATTCTCAGGTACAGGTGAAGAAGATCGGGAACTATAAACTTAATGTCTATTGATCTGAAAATCGGTGAACGAAGACAATTGAACTTCTTTTTCCTACTGCCTGACCACTGTGCCATTTCATTTATCTCATTAACTGTGCGGGCCCCTTTAATCGTGTCAAGCATTGACCATTCTTTAGACATATCATAAAAGCAATCCGAGGGGCACTTGCAAAACACACAACTGTGAATGCTTGAGCAAGCACCAAGTCCGTACATCTCATTCAGAAATGTTAGTTCGGCACACATGTAGAATGCAGGGTTGATTACTTTACCGCGGATGTGTAGTTCTTTCAAATTCTGAACGTCATCTAGAAGACCGGCCGCCTCCAAAATTGGCTTTAAGGAATCATACTTCTCAGGCTGCTTAGCAATGATTAACAAGACGTTTTGACTCTGATTGTTTTTTGTTATTATACTGAAGGCAATATTGGTCACTGGAATTCTGGAGCCTACCGATGTCCCATCCCCTGAGAGTTTGATTTGAATTGTACCTCCATCTATTAACTCTGCATCATTCATTTGTCATTCAAACGTTGAGTCACTCCCCTGAGTTCATTATGCACCTGAAAATTAAACATTGAGTTCAGTTCAGCAGCCTTTCTCTTTATGCTATTCAAAGATGGCCATAGGCCATTGCTTGTCAATGCAAATTCTTGATATGTTTTATCAGAAGTACAACTCATGTCCTTTAGATATAACATCTGCTCTACACTTGGCTGATGATTTTGCGGAGCGTGTGTAAAGTCGCAGTTCACAACATTGCCATATTGGTCACTGTAAACAAGTTTGTGGTGTTCAAGTCCTCCTGTACGCAGTAAGCTGCAAATGAGGTCAGCACTTTCTGTTGTCTTGATTTTGTTCTTCGATACCCACTGCCGACTGTATTTAGGTTTTGAAGCAACATTCCTGGTGGGCCTTAATCTACGCTTTATCAAACGGTTCACGATTTGTTTGGTCTGTTTGGCTTCCTTTTTGTTCCTTTTTGCTTCCCTTTTAGCATTTGTAGCCTTCAACAAAGCTGCTTTTGTTTTTTTCCTCTGCAATCTTTCTTTCCTTTTTTTTTCATTTTGAAGCTCTTCAAGTGCTTTCCTTTTAGTACCTCCTAACTTAAGCCTGTACTTCTCATTTTCCCAAAACTTAAGAAGACTAGAAACTTGCCTACCTCCTTTTTTCAATGCTGCTTTTAGGTTTGCTTGCATGTGTTTTATTTTACTGAGTAGTCTTGTTGATGTTTTTTTGCAATTCAACAAATGTCGAATCAATTCCATTTAATTTTTAAATCTTATCCAACACATCTTGGGCACACTCGATTGAATGGTATACCGAATCACTTTCTCTAACCAGCTTATGCAAGACAAGTAGATTTATCTCCAAAACCCAATCAACAGAGTCGTCAAAATTGAGTGGATGGCAATCAACCTTATGCTTAGGGGTAAAATAAATGGTACAACAAATAATTAAAACATAAAATGTAAAATATGGAGACATCAGTCCAATTAGTTACTCCAAAATATTCAGCTGACCCTTATTGCCC